CCTATGAAGGAAGTTTAACATAGCCAGGTTTCCTTTGTGTTAGCTGGCTTGACCAGACCTAAGAACTCCAGCTGGGAAACAAACGGGTACTTTCTGCCTCATGTTCGACTATTCTTAAGACTAAAAAAGATTAATTGAGCAGAAACTACTCCAATCACAGAAATTGTCACATGAACAGATTATAAAGAATGTGGAAATATGCAAATAAAGATGTAACTAATCAATGTTCTACTCTGTGTTTATGAAGCTGCAGCGTAAAATTGATTTAGAGCAGGTTGGGGACCAAACATAAAATTTGATTTATGCTTTTTTTCAATATCACCAGCTGAGATCATTTAAATTCCTCTTTTGGTTCCTGCTTTGACTTTACTGTTATTCCAGTCTTCCTAGTGTTTCCCTGACTCCCCCACTGTTTTGTCTATGTAGTAGCACCTTCTACTTATTATCATGTTTTAGTGTTAAGTATTATTATTTCAGTGTTTATAATTTGTCCTTTAGCTATTTCCTGCTTTACTTTGATAGTTGGTTTCCTAATGTGTCAGGTTTCACTCTTTCATTCGTGCCTGCTTCTCTGGTTGTGGTTGTCTTTGCCTGTGCTTGATTACTTTCACCTGTGCTTGGTTCCCCACCTGTTTCTCATCCTCAGTCGATCACTTGTGCATATATGCTGACCTGTTTTTCAACCTTGTCCTTGTCATATCTTAGCGTTGGCTATATTTTGGTTCCCAGGTTGGACTGTATAATTATAAGATTAGAAGAATCCAGTTTGAACTTTGGAATTTTTGTTTGTTCCCACATCCTGCATTTGAATCTTCCCCACACTAAGCAATGTAACTTTAAATCTCATCTGATCGTCAGGTGCTTTAAGAACTGTACTGGGTTTGTCTGGGATTTCCTGTTTGGTCAATTGCATCTCCTGTGCAAACTCCCAAATGACATGTTTGTGTCTTTTAAAATAAAAACTCTCATATAATAGTTGTCTTTAATATTTATCTGATCTTTTTTTTTTTCAGAAAATATTTTTAAAAAGGCATTTTTTTTACCTGTTATTATGAAAGTGACCTTTACACATAGAACCATCTGGGAAGGTGTATGTTCCTGTGCCGTTGTACATGTTGTCTTTGAATTCTCCTTCATATTGTGCTCCAGAGGGATACTGCATGGTCCCTCTACCATGCATCTGGGAGAGCGACAGAGAGGGAGATTATGTTTGTCTAACCACATGGTAAAAATAACTGATGTTTGAGGTAGTAATTGCATACTTTGTCCTCATGCCACTCTCCAGTGTATGTGATGCCACTTGCTGAGGTGTGTTTACCAGCACCGCTCCTCACCAGTGCTCCATATGCAGACCTGCTGCACTCTCCCTCTGTGGAGAACAGAGGTTCATACATAACTAACATAGACGTAAATTTCATCTGAGCAATCACATTGAGGCATTGTGTATTGCTTTAACCAAGAATTAGGTCTCTTCTTCCCAAGATTTTTACACGTGAAAATGTTTCACGTGTAAAGCTGGATCATCAGCCAGCTATAACTTACCATATCTGTCTCCGTTTGGAAAAATGTAGGAGACTTTTAGAGGTCCACCCCCTGTAAACAAATACACAGTTATTCACGCTGTCACAAGAATACGCAAACTGTGGCACGAAGAGGATATTTACCATCAGTGTTCAAAGAATCGCTTCCTTTCTTATCTGAAAATGAAAATCACACCGAATCAGAAAAGGGTTTGTGTGTGTGTGAGTGTGAGTGTGCGCAGACTAGGTGTTAGAACGTCAGATCTTGACAATCACACTCTACCAGACATCCGTGACAGCTTCCCCCAGCTGGCAGATGGTTGTCAAAGCCGAGAGCAAATGCTGTGTTCTGGCCAACTTCTTCAATGTGAAAAGTCAGACAGCTGATTAGAAAGTTGTGACTATGACACAAGTTACAACCGCACTGTAGCTGTTCACTTTGACTTGCCTTTAAATGTAGCTAATGCTGCCAGTAAGCCGGGGGTCCTGTGTTTTAAAGGCAGTTAGAGGCTAGCCCTTGTTACCATGGTTACGGAATTGGTGCAAACTAATATCTTTAACGGCTTGTGCGACGCTCTAAAGGCGTTTTATTAAACTACTGTTTTCAAATAACAAGAAGAAAGGCTTACCGCCGCTAAAACCTTCGACTTTAACCTTGTCAAGTGACTGAGAGATACTGCTAACTTTTTATTGTATTTTTTTTTCTAAGCGCGAACGTAAACCGGAAAAGAAACGTTGAACTCAAGAGTTTGGGCCAATAGAAGAGATGCAGGCTACCGGTGGTCAGAGCAGCTGGTTCAGGTTTGTTCGCAATTGTTATTAAAGTTTCGTTTTTCAGTTTCTTGCGCACTTTACCGATTATAACATGGCTCTATACTTTTTGACATTTTAAAGCATTTAGACTCACTGACTTGACTTACCGGGAGGCTTTTTTCAGTTAGCTTACTGTTACATTAAAAGTGATGAGTGTGCTTGCTAGCTGTTAGCTCGTTAGCTAGCCGACTCCTTATACTTGAAGATGACTAATGTGCAGCACCTTACTTCCACATTATTCCTTATATGTTCTGGTCTTTTGTACTTTGCCTGTAGCCAGCCACCCAGCCGTGGGGTTAATCGGTCATCGCCCTGACTGGGTTGTTAGTCTGCACGTTAAGTTTGATTGCATAATTGTAGCCAGCAGCGCTGTGTGTCAGCCACCATCTCATTGCTCGCACTTGAATTGAAGTGCCAGCCAGCCCACAGCGATGTGTGACTGTGCTCTGCAGAGGGTGGACAGTAGTAGCTGCCTGCTCTTCCCGGGTTCGCAACCAGTAGCTCTCTCTCCCTCATCTAGGATTTCTTTGGGGGGTATACTCCCAGGGTTGGAAAGATTTATTCAGACCATGCTTTTTAATGTCTCTTTTCGCAGATTGTTTTCTGATATGATTGGACACTGATTGAGTGTAAGTATATTCTGACAGCAGTGTTTTATTTCTTTTTTTAATAGTCAATTTTGTATTTGTGCTGGTGTTTATGTAATGAATCTGTTCGTGTGTCCTTTGGTAGAGAAATGAACGCAAGGAGAAGAGGTGGGAAGCCCAACAGAGGAGGTGGAAGATTTAATAAACAAAGAGGAGGAGGAGGGGGAGGAGGAGGAGGAGGAGGAAATCGGAAAGGAGGAACCAGGCTCTGGGATGACGGGGATGATTTCAACCTTGATTTTGGACCCTCTTATTTCACCAGGTGTTAATTTATATTGAACAAATATTTAGCTTTGTGTGCTCGGCTTCAGTTGATTTCCTATCATTTTGCCTCGTGTCTCGTTCTGTCTGCAGATCAAATAAAGGACGAGGTGCTGGTGCCCATGCTGGTGGCAGGGATGGTGGTCAAGGAGGAAAGAAAGCTAGAGATCGAGACCGAAATGGGAAAAGTAGTAGCAAGGCTCTGCCAAGGTCCTTGACGAGTACCAGGATGGACTCAAAGGTCAGTGAATGCATCAGACCAGAGGTGAGCAGTATGCCATTGCAGAAGATCTTCATGACTAAAGCGAACCAGGAACAACTCAAGGAGTTGCTGAGGATTTTACAGACACAGGACTCTGATGAACTGTATGAGTAAGTACATACGCACTTGTTTGAAAAGAACAATTAGAAAGCTAGGAAATAAACTCATGCAACCCTCTGTTTGTTCCTTAGTGATTCTGGTTCAGATTATTCCGGGCTAGATGAGGAGGAAGAAGAAGAATTTGATGAATTGGATTACCGTGAGGAAGGCCAGTTTTGGGCCACAAATGATGAGCCTGTGGAGAAAGCAGAGAGCCCAACATTTGACCTAGAATATGAGGATGAACAGCCCAGCCCTGAACCTGTTATCTCCTTATTTGCCATAGGAAAGCTCTGCAGGTGATTTCAAATTTTATGTTTTATTTCCAGAACCTTACCTATGAGCTAAATCAGATGTTCTGAATCTGTGCTTTTGTGTGTAAATATAATTAGCTTCTAACCCACTGCTTTCTCATAATTTCCTCTGTGTAGATATGGTTTTGACAGGGAGCGCAGCAAACAGGCGCTGGAAGCTGGTGGAGGAGAGTTTGGGGCAACTTTGGAACAGCTCCTCCAACAGATTTTCACTGAGCGCTATGGTCAGAAAGCAGTTTCCCCTGATGGACTTGGTGAGGTGCCTTTGGATGAGTGTGTAAACCAAAAGCAGGAGGAGGCCTTGGCTCTAGCTGCTATTTATGGAGAGCGCTTCAGTGAGCGCATTGCCAATGCTGTATGGACAGTAACCCTGGACCTGTCGTTCCTCTCACGATCTCCTGTTAAGAAAGGAGGAATGGTAGGCGGAGGCGCTCCAAACATCGGTGACATTTGCAAATTCTACATGAAAGGTCAAGGCTGCCGCTATGGAGACAAATGTCGGTTCAAACATGAATTTCCCAAAAAAGACATGTCTGTGGCTGGTTCCTCGGACCTGAAAGGCCCAGGCCAGCCTGGTGTCAGCAGCTATTCTCCTCCTGAGTATGAGCTGGAAGTTCGTTTCCCCAAAGGGAACCGTTACCCTTTTCAAGCACCAATAGTTGCCTTCAGTACCAATGATGAGTCTCTCTGTGCTGCGGGGAGGCTCCATGTGACTGAGAGATTATTTGGAGAGGCATTGTCTGCAGCAGAGAGCAACCAGCCTGTTGTTTACACCCTGATAACCTTGTGTGAGGATGAAAATACCATGAAAGAACTATTGTCCATACGGCATCACAAATACAGCACCCCACCTCCTGTTGTTGCTGTTCCTCCGCCCTTTCTTGCCATAGCAAAGAGTAAAACTCTAAGGAGCAAAGCTTCTGAGGAGAGCACGAATGCCATCACCAGCAGTAGTAACCATGCAAACAGCGGGAGTGCTGCTGCATCGAACAACCCAAGGGCCACAGATAGTAAGTCGGATAGAAATGTACATTTTTGCTATATATTTTCTGTTGTTTCTTTATACAATAGAGAGCTGTATTTAATTCTGCTCACTTTTTAGTAAAACGGACAGTGGATGCAGAAGAGCTGGATGAGAAAGACGAGGATGAGAGGGACCACGCAGTTCCAGTTAAGAACGACAGTTACGTCAAGCTAAAGAGGAAGATGGTAAAAAGGCACAATACGATGGACAATCTGCTGCTAGAAAACAGCAAGCTGTGCAAAGAGTTCAGTAAGAAACAGGTGGGTCTTAGGAAAAAAATGTGTATATTTTTTTTTTTTTGGTTTTTCTTCCTCCACATCCTTCTCAGTATGATGCATCCCTTGTAATCTGTTTCCGATTTCCTTTGGTTCCTCTGTCAAACCAGTCCTCCAGACGCTACAGTTCTATGCTTGAACAGAGGAAGAATCTTCCAGCTTGGCAAGAGAAAGAGCACATCCTAGATGCACTGGACCAGTGTCAGGTGCTGGTGATCAGTGGCATGACTGGGTAGGTCCCAGAGTTTTACCGTGACTTATAAATGAAAGAAAATATATATTTTAATGATGCTGATCCACCCTTTCAGCCTTTTTCCCCCCCAACCAATAGCAAGTCAAATGTGATGTATGGATATATGAAGGGTTTTAGCTTGTATGGAATTAAAAACATTTACATCAGATATATTAAAATTGAAAGTTTATAAATGAGATCTACTATGGCTTTCCTTACTTTTTGTCATATCTGCTGTTATATTGTTATAATTATTAGAAGTTTTAAATAATGAGATCAGTGTATCGTCTTGATGCATTCTCAATCATCCAGGAAAGTAAATCTCCAAAAGTTGATTCTGTTCATCTGGACGTAGCGTTTTG